CAGATTAGGGTGAAGACATGAAAAACAGAGCAGAAAAGTATTAGCTGGGGATGGCAGGGAATGGACTAGACATAAATCTGGGTGACAGTGAGAGCAGTGTAGTGTCAGAGAAGTTGCTAGGGATCAATAGCAACTAGGAAGCAGCACAGACTACACTGAGGGAACAGACTTACCCTCAAGCTTTTAATCTACCTTCTAATCCACCTCTTTTGGAAGGCCTCTGCTTCTCTCAGAGAACTTTGAGGACATTGCTGTTCAATATCAGAGAAAATAGCTGCTTATCCCCTAAAAATGTGATTTTGAGGCAGAAAATATGTCTACATATAGGTCATATAGACAACAGGGCTGTATTGAGTTACATAGAGACAGGCCTGCACAGTGGTAGAGACGAGTTGGTAGAGATGAAATTACTGGGAGCTGCATCAGTTCACAAAGTTCTAAGCATTGTGATAACTCAAGGCTAACAACCTTCTGTATTTTCTTGCCTGCCTGCTCCCACCCAGTCCTATAAAAGCTTGAGGCAAAGGAAAATAGCAACCCGGCCATTTTTGAGTCTTATTGACTACCTGGTTGTCATTTTCCATAACATTTCTTGAGATCACCAGGGTCTGTTGCTTTTGGGTGGTTGGCTTCATGGATCTGGGGCCTATAACTTGGGATTCAGAACCAAGAAGCACGTGCCCTTGAAAAATATTCAATATCTCCTTCCAAGACTCAGGAGCAGACGATGCACATGAAATGAGGACATAAAGTAGAAAGAAACCATCTTCACCTGATCATCTGGATGGGTAAGTCTGTTCCCTCAATGTAGTCAAAAAGGTTGACGCAAGATTGATCACCCCATCTGGAGACAAAGCTCCAGCTCACAGGAAAAATGGAGTTTCTTCTGAGGAGGTGCTGGAGAAACCACTTCTAGTCAGGTCAGGAATTTTAAACTGGAAATGTATAGCCTCTAGTGTGCTTAAAGTGAGTCTGTGAACCCCATACGACCTGCTGGCTTTTTTCTATCTCCATTTCAGTAGAACAGTCATGCATGCATGTATTTGGAGGAAAACTGGTAGGGGACTGATTGGCTCTGGCAGAGGCTACTCCTTTGTGATCTGAAATTCCCCAGGTGGATTCCAAATGTCAGCTGCCTGATAGGGAATCCAACTGCCGAGCTTTCTCTCCTTGTCTTCGGCTGGCTTCTCAGTGAAGGAGAAGTGAGACTTCTGGGTAACCCCGCGAGTATTCTTCTTGAGGGTTTGAATTCCTTAAGTGACTCATGTGAACCCTTCACTCCATTCTGTAGTTCCTCAGAGAGTTGAGAAAACCCTGGCCACTTTACTCTGACATCTGTCTCTACCTCCAGTCTGGCTTCCGAGACCTGAATACATGTGGTGTCACAGTCTCATTCCAGCTACACAATCTCAGTGGGCTCCAACCTATGGTTCTGTGGGGAGCCATATTTCCACTACAGACTGATTCCAGTCTATCAGAGTTAGGACCCAGAGCAGAGCTTATATGCGCGTCCCTGAAGGTCCCTTCAGAGGCTTGGCAAGGAAAGCAACTGGGGTGGGAGTGGAGAGGGAAGGTTCAGTTCTCTGTATCCCAACCCTTGTGACACTAACCACATTTGGGAATAGGCACATAAAAATGAGTTCCTGTCAGTCCCGATCGAAGTTAGAGTCTTTCCTAGATAACACGCTAGTTAACTTTAAGACAGGGCTTTTGAGACTATAGTATCCAAATGAAGCATTCTAAGCTAAAAGCTTTCTATGAATTTGATTGGCTGATGTTCAGGGTTAGCTGGTCTAAAGATGAGACATTAAGATATTTCAATTACTTTCTGAATTCAGGAAACCTGCCAGAGGAGCTCCAGATGGCCAGTTCAGTTCCTGTACATAGACTCTTGATTTGCTTGTTTGGGTCACTCTGGTGGCTCTGTTACTGGATAAAATCTCAAGATGGCCCAACCAAACTCTTGGTAGCTACCAAGGTGTGCTCCAACCTGCTGCCCCAATTTCCATGATGTGGAAGACATTCCCCAACCATATGCAATATCGTTCTAGGTCCCTTCTGGTGACCTCATCAGTCTGCCAAATACAGCAGAGGCAGCACCTACCCTCCATCAACTCCCTGATGCATTCGGGCCATAGCCTCCAGAGTCATCTCAATCAGTCATCTCAATCAGTTCTATTTCCCTGGGCTGCACCTGAGCAACATCCTGTCATCTCCCACCAAATCACACCTGTGAATCTGTTAGGGGGCTGATCTGGGAATTTTCTGGGGCCACCTAGATCAAATACTGGATAACCGAAGACAAAGTGCAAGGAAGTACTTCCTCTATGGGAGCAGACAAAGAAGATGGCCTACGTCATTGACCCTCTTGTCCTGGTTTATCAACCCTTTCCCACCACCAGTATTCTCAACTGGTACCATCACACACACACACACACACACACACACACACACACACACACACATTTAGAAAAGCCCTACTCTACGATTGATATCGTAACTTCAAAATTGGAGACCAGCCTTCCCACCTGGAATAACTGCTGCTATCTCATGGCAACTCTCTTTGAATCTGACGAATGTGAGTCTCTATAGCTACAAAAGATTGGCTAAGATATCATGGACTGACAGACTAGATCCATAGGATTGGGCCTGGTGAGCTTTTCCTGATACTCACCTGGCCTGGGAGCCGAACACTACAGAGTCTAAGGAGAATCATTAATGTTGTAAAAGCTAAAGGCACCAGCCAGGGACCCCAGGAGGCCCAAGTTGTTCCTCATCCAGAAGAGACCTGTTTATTTCTTGCTTGAACAAATTCTGTGAGAAAGTTTATAGTTCAATCTATGACTGAGGCAGTCAGCTAGAACTGGTAATGCAAGAATATCAGAGAATCCCACTACATGAAATGGATGATCCAGAAGGGATTACGGAGGTACATAGACAGCAGTCCTACACAGGTAGCAAAAGAAGTAAGAGCTAGTAGGAATAAAATTGGAGCTGGTAGAGAGAGAATTGTGATAGTTCAAGGCTAAATACCACATATTTGCTTTTCCCTCTTCCTGTTTGTTCCCACTGGCATAAAAGCCTATGTCCTATCAAAGCTTGAGACAAAAGAAGACAGGAACTCAGTCATTTTGGAGTGATCCGGAATGATGCCCTCCAGGAAAATAAAGGTTCTTCCTGATTCACAAATGGCTATAGGCTCTCTGGTGGTCAATTTCCATAACAGTTCCAAAATTCCTGACACTCTTCCCAACCTAGTATTATTGGAATCTTGAATGTGTTAAATCTTACCACCTGCCTCATACCAGCAAGGTACTTAGGAATGCAGACTATTTGATTCTGGGCTCCACCACTAACTAGCTGTTATAATGTTGTACAACTTACCCTGCTCCTGGGCTAGTTCCTCATGTGTGAACAAATGATATAATACCACTGATTTTGTGGGGTAGTTTCAAAGGCTTAAATTACAGAATCTCTCTTACAGATAATGTGTCTATACTCTGCATAAGGTGACAGGACAGGTATTGGAAATTGAAAGATCAACTCCTGAATCCTAGACTCTTGGTGGCAATCTGCTTCCTCCTAGGATCTGACATGGGAAACCATTGATTTCAGGGTAGGCTTTTTTTTTTTAAAGATTTATTTATTTTTATTACAAAGTCAGATATACAGAGAGGAGGAGAGACAGAGAGGAAGATCTTCCGTCCGATGATTCACTCCCCAAGTGAGCGCAACAGCCGGTGCTGTGCCAGTCCTGAGCCAGGAGCCAGGAACCTCCTCCAGGTCTCCCACACAGGTGCAGGGTCCCAAAGCATTGGGCTGTTCTCAACTGCTTTCCCAGGCCACAAGCAGGGAGCTGGATTGGAAGTGGAGCTACTGGGATTAGAACCGGTGCCCATATGGGATCCCAGTGTATTCAAGGCGAGGACTTTAGCCACTAGGCCATGCCGCCGGGCCTCAAGGGTAGGCATTTAAGTTGGCCTATTTGCTCACCCAAACATCCTAGAAGTCCAGACCAACTGGAAACTCTGCAGCTGGCAAACTAAAACAAAATCTTCCAAATCAATGCTTTACTACAAGTTTGTAAGAGATGCACAGATCTCAGTTATCAAGGTTCTTAAGCCTTAGGATTCGAGATCCTGAGGTAGGGCTATATTCCACTAGAATGTTCCCATACTTCCACAAAGGTTGACCCTCTGAAGAACTTAGCTACTTATCTTGATATTGAGATCCTTAACTCTGGAGCTTGACCTCTAGGATCACTAAATGAAAATCCCATGGAGAATGAGGTTTGACCTCAGCTGAATGCTTGTTGGAGGACACTCAATTTTAAATTAGTCCCGTTTTCAAACTGCTTTAAGCCACACTCCAAAACATGAGATGAAGATGCTTACTAATATACTATCTATACTTTAAAATCATAGGGAGATTTGGTACTCTAAATGAGGTTGTGTGCAATTCAGAGATTTTTTTTTTAATTGCAAAAAGGCCAACACTTGCTCAGATAAGTCCAAAGAGTTTTTATAGCCCTAAAAGAAATGATTTTACACTGAAAAAAACTAACGTTAGCAACTGATGCACTAATGCTTACCAATCCAGAACACTGAGGTGAAGGAGAAACAGAGGGCACATTGGTTTCTCAACTAGTCAGAAGATAAAGGTACATGATTATGGCTTCAGCTACAACACAGAAGAAACCAAGGCTTTGTTGCAACTTAAAGGTTTATTAATGAAAGGAAGAGGGTCAGTTGACATTTACATGCAGCCCTATATTCTGACAGCTACAAGTGATGTTATCCCAGGAGCTTAGTGAACACTGTTTCCTGGGTGCTTGTTGCCATGACTGGGCTCTAATCTAATTAGACTCCTCTTCTTGGACCTGGAGTGAAGGGAAGATATTTTTTAAGATCTTGGTATAAAATGGACCAAACACTTGTTGATTGTGATGCATCAGATTGACAAATTTCAAGCCCAGGTCTGCCAATTCTCGTTCAATGAAATTAAGGCCTCCAGGGATATCTAATAAAGACTCTTGCATTCCACGAACCAAACAGCATTTGAGAAACATATGGATCCGTTGATCTGTGAGCAGGAAAAATGTTGGAAAGGGAAAGATATTCAGAAGAAATTCACAACACCATTGCACTCTCTAGTCACCAGTTTGAGTTAACAGTTATTCACTGACTACTACTTATTTGAGTAAATCATGTAAATGATATAACTGTTTATTTTTATTTGGAAGAGAGAATTTTACCAAGCTCCTAAAGATACTAAATAATCAAAATAAACTATCAAATTTTTAAGAGCTCATGATTGTTTTGCATAGCTGTACATGAGATCCAAGTGTGCAGTTGATCTAACAAAAGGATCATAGAAACTACCAGAAATTCTAACATCCCATGTTGCAACCAGTGCACCAAACTTAGAGTCATACATCAATACCAGAATATGAGAAACTGCTAACAATAAAAGTAAACTGATGAAATTACTGCTTCCATTACAGCATGAAACATGTCCTACAACCTAACCCAATCAATTTCATGAAGGGGAATAAGGGCATACATGGTAATTTAAATCACAAAGTAAAGAAAATGTTTTGCACCATAGATCTTAGAACATTGCTAGATAACAGTAAGGATGATTAAGTGGGTTAGTAGTAATCGATGAGTTACTTAGTCTGGGTGCAGATCTAACTTAAAACCATCCATTCACTCTTCACATCTAAGAAGTCCATATTAAATAAATGAAGAAATAAAAGTTAAAACACTTTCCAAATGAACACATTTTTTTATTTTCAAGGTAGTTTGTAACTTGTTCCTAACGTAAGGTCTACCTTTCTATATCCCCCACATTCTTGCCACTCTTCCCTACCATTACTATATGGTAATAGACTCTTACCTATGATGACACGTATGCAGTTCTCTTTCTTGGCAATGTTCTGGAGCTGACCTTTAAGAGAGTTCTTATTTTCATGGCTCAACGCATCAAGACCTATGTTCTTGAGGCCCTGGTGGATTTCCTGAGACACTTGTTCATTCACACTCAGCATAGCCTCCTCAGGACTAGATAACAAAGGATAAAAATCAGAATTGCCCTAGTACAGGATCAAGGGCTAAAGAACCCCATACCAGACATTAAATCATTTAAGGGAGGATTAAAGCCCCCTAACACCAGGAAATAGTATTCAGATGAAATACTTTCATCGTTACCCTTAAGGTACCTACTAACCCCTACATAACACCATATGACATGATCAAAAAGGTTACATTAGACAATGGTTTGGTTTCATTCATGGATGCCCTTAGTAGCCTTTAGTTTCATAATTTTATTTATTATTCTAAGATTTTCTTGGATAATTTTCCTGATTTTTTTTTCTCTCCTATTATCAAATAAGTTGTAAAAGAAACTTAGACATCTAATTTCTCTTTTTACTTTGGTATGGTATCCCTACATGTAGTTAATAATCAATAAATAGTACTGATCAAATGAGCAACTTCTGAATATACAGAACACAGGCCAACCATCATCTAATAGAGAACACAAAGACTCGTTTTAGTAAATATGATAAATATTCATAGCAAACTAAGCTTCCCATCCTCCTCTTGGGACAGACTTCATCTTTTTTTTTCAAGCCTCAATGCAGCTCATTAAAGATGCCTGCAGTCTTTGGAGATGGTAATTTGTGGTAAAGAGTAAGCCCAGGAGTTGGCATTGTGGCACAGCAGCTTATGGCATTGCCTGTAAAACCAGTATCCCATATGGGCACAGGTTCATGTCACAGTTGTTCCACTTCTGATCCAGTTTCCGGCTAGTACCCTTGGAAGGAAAGTGGAAGGTGATCCAAATACTAGACCCATGTCATCCACTTGGGAGACCCAGGTGAAGCTCCTGCCTTCTGCATTCAACCTTTCCCAGCCGCAGCCAATTACAGTCATTTGGAGACTGAAACAGCAGATATAAGATCTCTTTCTCGGCCCGGCGGCATGGCCTCACCTTGAACGCACCCGGATCCCATATGGGCGCCAGTTCTAATCCCGACAGCTTCACTTCCCATCCAGCTCCCTGCTTGTGGCCTGGGAAAGCAGTTGAGGACAGCCCAAAGCCTTGGGACCCTGCACCCAAGTGGGAGACCTGGAAGAAGTTCCTGGCTCCTGGCTTCGGATCGGTATAGCATTGGCCATTGCGCTCACTTGGGGAGTGAATCATCGGAGGGAAGATCTTCCTCTCTGTATATCTGACTTTCCAATAAATAAATAAATCTTTTTAAAAAAAGATCTCTTTCTTTCTCTGACTCTCCTCTCTTTCTACAACTTCCTTTCAAATAAGTATTTAAATATTTTTTAAAAGAATAAACAATACTGTGTTACATGCTTATGTCCAAAACACAATGCATTATTTTCCATTCTAAGAAAGATGTGCATATCTCACCTGGTGTTATATTCTTCCATCAGGGTGTTGATTATGTCTTTCAGCCTATCCACAAATCCAGGAAACCTGAATAAAACACCACCAGAGAAACTCCTGGCCACCAGCAAGACTGAAGTCAGGATACTTAGCTGACATACTGTTGATGCCATCTCCTGGAGCCGCATTCTGTCCATCAGTAGAGTCTGGTGAGGCATGGAATAACAGGGTGTCAGGAAAGGAGGATTATTATGGATGCAATCAATACAAACTTGTGACTGTTACTCAGAGAATATACTACTGTGATAATATGGGGGGGAATGGCATGAGGAGAAAACAGGGAGAGAGGAAGAAGAGAGAAAGGGAGGAATCCCTACACCTATAAAACTGTATAATGAAAAATAAAAATAATAATAATAAATCAAGAGAACAATGTCCCATCACATATTCTTACCTCAGGGAATTCTTCATTCTTGTGATCCCAATGAAGAAGGTTCAGGTAACCCTGGTACAACACCATTGTGGGACTGGGGATGTCTGAGTTGGTAGCTTCCTGATTTTGTTGGGAATATGCCACCATCCTTGCAGAGTCAGGAGAATTTGGAAATGGTATAGTGAGGTCTGCAGCTGCTTTTGCTAGCCATTTTTTGGTGTAAAAAAGAAGATCTAGTAGAAAGAAAGAAAGAAATATGTATTTTCAAACTAAGGGTTTTAAGAGAGGGGTGGGGAACCTCCAGCCTGCAGGTCACATTAAGTCTATGCAATCAGTTGGTTTGGTCCTGCCAAAATAACCAGAGATAGGACTCAAAATTAAATAAATCAACATCAGGATCATTTTTAAGTGTGCAAGGCTACAAGTTCCATGAATGATAAAATATATAAATGGCCCCTGGCATAAAAATGTTTCCCACTCCTGCTTTAATATATGCTCTTGGTTAATAAATAAGTGATTTTTGGTAAGTTTTTCCCTACTCTTTATGTAAAGAAGAAACTTTCTATTCAAAATAGAGAAAATATTCCCACTTATGGTAAGAAGGTAGGCCCAAAGTCAAACCTCCCCTTTCATGCGCTTAAAATGTATACATACGGGGCTGCCGGTCAAGGAGCTCCTGGAATTTAGCTCGTTCGTAGAGAACAGAATACTCCTTCAGGTAAGGTCGAAGGCTCTGGATAGTATAGTTCACCATGTCCATTTTCATCAGGCCCAAAACGTGAAAAACACCCCTGCCACAGGGAGAAAAATTTATTTATACAATGAAGGCAGGCATTTGGCACAGTGATTAAGACATCACATTGGATGCCTCACATCCATGTTACAGCTCCGGGTTCCAGTCCTAGTTAAACTCCTTAATATAACTCCCTCCTAGTTTTCTGCTAACATATAATTTGGAAAGCAGCGAGCAATGCCTGAAGTACATGGGTAACTGCCACTGAGTTTCTGGCAAACACCTCCAATTGTTATGAACATTTCAGGAGTAAACAAGAAAACAAGAGATTTCTCTCCCTTCTTTCTCTTTCAAATATTATTTAAAAGCGTAAATAATAAATTTTAAAGAAAGGGGGCCCGGTGGCGTGACCTAGCGGCTAGTCCTCGCCTTGAACACACTGGGATCCCATATGGTCTCCGGTTCTAATCCCAGCAGCTCCGCTTCCCATCCAGCTCCCTGCCTGTGGCCTGGGAAAGCAGTCGAGGACATCCTGAAGCCTTGGGACACTGCACCCATGTGGGAGACATGAAACACGCTCCTGGCTCCTGGCTTCGGATCGGCACAGCACCGGCCGTTGCAGCCACTTGGGGAGTGAATCATCGGACAGAAGATATTTCTCTCTGTCTCTCCTCCTTTCTATATATTTCTGACTTTCCAATAAAAATAAAATAAATGTTCAAAAAGAAAGAAAAAACGCAGCAAAACACTAAGGTTCTATCTATCTGTGGGTACTTAGTATGTAAGTGTATTTCAAACTCACTGAACAAATCATTTTACATTTATTATTCTTGGGAGAGGGGTAAGCACTGTTCTATCCCCTGAAAAAAAAGGTTGATTTAGGACAAACACGAAAACATTTGGGAAGTTACCAGGACATAAAGGGGCCCCATGGATCTAAAGATCATCACACAAATCTTGAGTAACTGTCCTTGGAAAATTAAACTCAGTAACTCGGGGAGGAAAGAGGTGTTCGCTTCTCAGCACACCACAGATAGGTAACACACAAGCTGTGTCATGACACCTACCGCCGTCTGCATAGCACGGAAAGTAGATTTAAGGAACAGCATGTGGAGTCTCACCTCAGTAATTCTATTGGATCTGTTATACTCCCCAGTTTATGCACTGCTTCATCTCTAATTGGTGCACACAGCATGATCATAAAGTTGAGAATGCAGCTAGAGAGATGATGCACATCCAAAGTCCCCTGCTCTACGTCCTTTTTGAGGCGATCCATGTCCAGGACTTCTTCAATCTCACATTGTATGGGGCTCTGATGTGGCAATAGCAGTGACAGCAAGATCTGACCAGAAAAAGGAAATCAAAAGAAATAAATCCTGCTTTGAACCCTGAACTTTCTCCAAAAACAATCTTCTTAGGCCAAAGGCACCCCAGGTCATGTCTTCTGAAGGTCAGGAAATTGTGACTCTAAATATCCTAGAATGTATTATTATTCTATTTCAGGGACAATTATAATTTAAGGTTCCATTGGGATCATTTATAGTAGTTGTCATTATTTTCAGGACAGAATGACACAGGACTCAAACCAAAAATGTGAAGAAAAGAGTGCAGGACTTCAGAGGTATAAAGTACACACCACAACAAGGTGATGAGGCATTCTTAATAAAGGAGAACATTTTTACTTTGACTCAAAGGGTGAGGATGAAATCAGCAGTCACATACAGGTCTTCTGACATAGCTTTTGACTCATAGTATAAGCTCTTTGTTACCAAAAAGCTTTTATTCATCCCTATGTTTCTGAAACAATTAAACACAGCAGAGGTTCAGTGAAAATATGTTTAAATGAACGACATATTGAACTGTTAAACTTCATCTCATCCAGGTAAAATGAAAGCTGCGTAAATAGTGGATCATGTGTACAGAGTCCTACTAATCAGTAATACCAGGGACGATCACAATCTAACGGAGGCTGGAATGCCCAGAAACTTCACATCAACAAATGGAAGATTGGTTACTCACATCCTTAATTTCCTTTAGTAGATCAAGAGCACATGAAAAGTTGGATGGAGTACGTGACAGCTGCTCTTTCAGATGGTCCCACAAAACATTGTACATTGTCTCCACAAATCTGCCTTGCACACTATATGAAGATGAAATGAGAAAATGACTCTTTACCTAGATTTAATATAGGATCACAATCTTACAAAGAGCATTTAAACTCATGAGAGAGCATGAACACTGACAGGACAGCAGAAGTTATGCTTAGACCTAAAAAAAAGACTTAAAAAACTATAGTTGGATACAAAAGCACTGGTCAAATCCTTTCAGAAGGTCTTTGGTAGTTCCAAAGAAACTATTTCCTGCAGAAGAAAGAATCATGTGTTTAGAACTAAGACTTCTAGTCTAATAATCCTGTTCTGTACCTAGCCCAGATGTTTGAGTTTCCATGTCCACAGACACAACCCTGAAATCTAGAGGGTCACTTTTCTTCTTGCTAATAGTTGAAAGTCTTTAAAATGTTTCAAATTCAGCCAACCCAGAACAGGATTCTCTTTCTTTCCCCTTTAAACCTGTTTCTTGTCCATATTTGGTCCTGAAAAGTGGAAAGAGCAGCCTTTTTTTTTGAAATATATAACAGCAATGCATCTTTTCTGATTAAATGTATGTATATGTTAAATATATATAAACATTTACAAATATAAAAGAATATAAAATATAAAATCAACATGAAATGTACAAAAATATTATAAAAACAAGCCAAAGCTGCTCTCCCACCACACCAATCTAAATTGTGAGAGTTCACCAATTATCTGGTGTTTACTGAAGTCCTCTTTAATTCCTTTCCCTTCTTGCTTTTTATCCATGTGGATCATGAGATTCCAGAGATTTTGTTTGCTAAACATCTCTGGAATATAAACCAATGAGCCATCATCTCCTACCTAGATTGCTGCAATAGTCAAGTGGCCACCATGTCCCAAAGTTTTATCTCCCATTATGACACATAATCTAGCTAAAATAAATTTTTCTAAGGTGCAGATTTGATAATGATGTGAGCTATTCATCTGTACCTGCTTTAATTTACACAGTTAAAAGAGTAACTGCAAAGAGCTACTTCATTCAAGTCTTTCTGAAAAGATCTCATGAAATCAACCCTATGTTTTACTATAACGGAAATGTTAAAATGATCATTTTGACAATAGATGCATTGGTTTATTATTTTGATAACAGTTGCATCAGTTTATGCCTTCTTTAAATACAGTCTGCTACACTGACTCCTTTATACTGGAAAATGCACTGAATATCCTTGCATTTTATTTATTGGTATAATTTCAAATAGACCTGATCATTAAATTTATTAACAAAATGTTTAAAATTAATCAAATCTACTTGTGCAGTATCTTCAGCAAGGAAGCGTAAAATAGAAAAAAAATAGTAGAGTCTACCTATCTGGAGGTAACATTTTCTCTTCAATATAGAAATTCTGGTTGACCACAATTTCATGAGCAATACTCATCTTGGAAACTTTGTTAATTGTTTCTATCAGCTCTTTGATAGAAAGTGATGCACAACGGCTCTCTGGAAAAAAAAAAAAAAGCATAACAATCATTAGCAAGGAACCCCCACAAGCAGAATTTCGATTTTATTTAAGTATTTAGTCAAGTAAGACCCTCACATTTAGATTCATCAAACACACCTTATGCATACTCACTGAATTATTTTGATGTTTTTTTGCCCTTTAACAGTATTGGAAAAGCTCAGATGTCAGGCATGGGAAAAAGCTACTTTATGAAAAACTGAAAGAGATTTCAAAATCTTCCATTTGAAATGTCAGAAAAGTAAGGAAAATGCATAAAAGAATCAAGAAACAAGTTGTGCTTCACCAAATAGACATTTGCCTATAAATTATTGAGTTCTCACTATCTTCTTCCTACCCCTGAGAAGATACAAATGACAGCTACAGTCTCCTTGCAGATAACACCACAAATTTTAGTTTATGGTTCTAAAGCTGAATCATACCTCTCAAGTTTTCTTTAGTTCTAGGTATTCAACAGAAATAAATTTTTGAGAGGAATCGAGTGACTGACCATGATTTGCCAAATTTTTCATATATAAAATTAAGTAAACAAACAAAAATCCAACCTTACCATCATCAAAACATTTCATAAACAAAGTATATGTTAACATTCCAAAAAACACAAAGGAAATAAAGTGAGCACTAAGAATAGTCTTTTAAATAAAATCAACTAAGTTTTATCTCAAAATTCATTATAGAAACTTTATTATTTAATTGTATTCAGCATTGGCAAGAATTATATCACAGACCAGCACTGAAATTTTGGAACCAATGTTCTACCTTCAGCCTACAAGCAGTCTGCAGCAGTAATACATAATAAGCATATGGGGTAGTTACAATAATTGCTTGGTATTTCTGAGAAATAAAACATGCAATGAAACTATTCTCTCAATATATTTTTATAATACTTATGAGAACTACTTGTCTCAAAAATATAATAAAATTCACATGTTAAGAATCCAAAAACTCCAGGAAGATGTTTTAGTTAGTTTTCATTTTAAGAAGTCATTCAACAAAAATTTTATCAACTTGCATTTGTCCTTCAATATGATATTCTTTCAAGATTTTTTTTTTTAATTTTAAAAAGCACAAAGTTACAAAGAGAGTAGAAGAGAGAGTGGACGAATGAGAGAGATTTTCCATCTGTTGCTTCACTCCTCAAATGGCCCCAATTGCCAGACCAAGGTCAGGCACCTGGAACTCTATATGGGTGGGTGGCAGGATTCCAACTACTGGATTGATATTCTGCTGCTTTCGCAGGCCATTAGCAGGGAGCTAACACAGAAGCGGAGCAGTTGGAACTTAAGCAGGCACTCAAATGGGATGCAGCATGGCAAATGGCAGTCTCACTTGCTGCTATGCCACTATGCTGGACCCACGTATAGGGCATTTTCTACCCTAATTAACAAGTTACATATGTCAACATAGCATCAAGGGGTGAGTGTTTGGTCTTGCAGTTAAGATACCACTTGGGATGCTCCTAATTCCATATGACAAGACATCAGGTCATTCCCCAGCTGCACTACTGATTCCATTTTCCTATAAATGCACATCCTAAGAGGCAGCAGATGCCAGCTCTAGTACTTGGCTCCATGTTACCCACATGAGAGATCCAAACTGAGTTTCAGGTTCCTGGCATTAGCCTGATCCAGCCCTGGCTGTTTAGAGCATTTGGGCAGTGAGCAAGCAAGCACTATTCTGTGTGTGTGTGTGTATTTCTGTGTGAGAGAGAGACAGAACCAACAAACAATGGGCTAGGAATCTTTCAAATAAATAAAATTCACTAAATAATTTAAAATATATCATCTCATCAGTTCAATAAGACATTTGAAAGCCACCCCAAACTAAGATTTAAAATGCACTACATTTGGACAAGCTGGAAAAAAGTCATTAGAAATTAATATTAGGAGGAATAAAATTTGAGTTCCTATAAAGTTGAATCAGTAAAAATTTTTTTTAAATGCCTACCATGTGAAAAAGTCTACATAAAAGCTCTGTTATTACAGATCTAAAGATTTTATCTTAGAATAGTGATAACTCTTACGTCAGCAAAGAAGCGCTGGAAAAGAAGAAAACACAATCTGTATATCAGATCATTTGAATTATTTATGATTGATCCAAGTCCTCATATCCACATATACTAAAAAAAAAAAAAAAACGTTGTCTATGTCCCATGTTTCCTCAACCGCTGTCAAGTCTTGTAAAACACAAGGAACTATCATTTAATCTCTTTCTCTTATTAATAAAGGTTACAGGCTTTAGATCTAAAGATATTTTTTTAAAAAGACAAGCAAAATAATAATCCCAGTGAACTAGCACAAGAGAAAGTAAAACTGCAGATGCAAGGCTATAAAAGCTTCTTCGAAAAAAAATTTTTTAGTCTACAATGCAGAGTGATAAAGTGAGAAGTAAGAGCGAGAATCTTCCATCCACTGCTCCAGTCCTCCAAATTGCAGGAGAAGCCAGAAACCCAGAACTTCACTGGGGCTGCCTGTGTGGCATAGAGAGACTAGGAGAGAGACAAGAGAACCTGAGCCATGTTCCACAGCTCCCCCGGGAGCTTTAGCAGGGTGTTGGGCAGAAACAGAACAGCTGGGACTCCTAACCTCTTAAACCACTTAAACCACAAGCTTTCTGTTTATTCCTAACTACTATCCTGAACAGGCTTTCTGTTTATTCCTTTAACCTAACTACTTTGAAGGGCAGCCTGAGGAAATGATGAGATTATTCTGTGCCTACCAGGAGGATGGTCATCTGTAGAGCCACTTTTGTTTTCCTGAGTCTTTCCAGATGCTTCAGAGGCCTTACTCTCTGCTTCACTGGAGTCATTCTGGAGCACAGAATCTTCTTTTATTTTTGGCATCTTGATGTTATCTGCAATTGGGAGAGAAAAAAAATAAAGTGTATTAAAATCTATGTCCAAGGCAAAAGAAGGAAGAAGGCTCTTCAATGGCCACTGAGATCTCTGATGGCTGAACCTACTGTTCTGAATTTCAGTGTATTACGGAAAATTTCAAGAGTCTTTAAGAAGAACAGCAAAGTCTCAAACAGGTGCCAGGTGGGACCAAGGAATACAGGACTAGTGAGACTAGCTTCAACGAAACTGAAGAAGTCCAGCATCAGTGAAGCAGAACAGAAATCTGTAGAGTTGGAAACAAAATGGAGTTAACATGGCTCATTGCTAACTGCAATACTTTTTGTTCTGTAACTTCTGCTTTGCTTGCTTGGCTAAGAAACTATGTGAGGCTGTGTGAGCTCGCAGGCTGAGCCGCCTACATGACCTTCAGTACAGATAGTTCTCAGTTCCCAGGAATCAAGGTCTGAGTCTGGTTATCTCACCGGTGGTTTCAAGGCCTAATTCTGGTTATCTTGACTACTAGACCGGAGAAGAGCCAGGCACAGGCTGTCCAGCCACAATAAGCTTTTGTAAAGTGCCCATATGAAAACTCTATGAATGTGCTGTGCAGGGTCGCACTGTGTTAAGGGGTGTGGGTCCCAGTTGGTCGGTCAGTTGTCTTACCTCTCATTGCAATAATTTGTTTTTCAAAGATTCATTTATTTGTATTGGAAAAGCAAATATACAGAGAGGAGAGACAGAGAGGAAGATCTTCCATCCAATGATTCACTCCCCAAGCGACCGCAATGGCCAAAGCTGAGCCAACCTGAAGCCAGGAGCCTGGAGCCTCTTTTGGGTCTCCCACATGGGGTCAGGGCCCCAAGGCTTTGGGCCTTATTACACTGCTTTCCCGGGCCACAAGCAGGGAGCTGGATGGGAAGCGGGACAGCCGGGACTAGGACTGGTGCCCATATGGGAGGGATCCCGGCACATACAAGTAGAGGACCTTAGCATCTAGGCTATTGCGTCGGACACCGTGGTAAAATTTGTGGTACGTTTACATTTTGTTTTTGAGGTTGAGTGGATGCAACATTTGGTGCATTAGCCAGGAAAGATAAAGGCCTGAAACAGGGCACTTTGCCCAGACTGGAGAAGTAAGGGCTGGGGGTGCACCATCTGGACTCAAGAGAGTCTGATGGACACAGCTGCAGATCCTGAGTCAGGGTTCCTACTGGGCTGCCAGGGGATGCCATCTGGTCTGGTTTCATCTGGCAGGGATCCCACCTTTAAGCAGCTGCCAAGGCCTGCTGGCCTCGAGATCTCTAGTTCACCTGTGATTTGTGTGTTTCTTGTATTATCTGTCTGTGTTGTTTTATTGCCTTCAATATCACGGGTTAAAATAATTCCACTCCTAGCCCTACTGACCTGGTCAAATTACACTTCAAGGACTTCAAAGAAAAAGCAGCGGAATCTGGAGATTCTGTTTTTGTTTTTGTTTTTTAAAGGGAAATTAACAACTTTTTATTCTGTGTAGTGGCCCTCTTTTCAGGTTCACTGGTCCCCTCACTGGTTAAAAAATGTCTGCTTTGGGCCCGGCACAGTAGCCTAGCAGCCAAAGTCCTCAACTTGTATGAAGCAGTATCCCATATGGCGCAGGTTCTAGTCCCAGCATACCTGCTTCCCATCCAGCTCCCTGCTTGTGGCCTGGGAAAGCAATTGAGGATGGCCCAAAGCCTTGCGACCCTGCACCCATGTGGGAGACCCAGAAGAAGCTCCTGGCTCCTGGCTTCAGATTGGTGTAGCTCCAGTCATTGTGGTCACTTGGGGAATCAATCATCAGATGGAAGATCTTCCTCTCTATCTCTCCTCCTCTCTATATATCTGACTTTGCAATAAAAAATAAATAATTTAAAAAAAAGAAAGAAATATCTGCCTCCTCCTTCTCCTTGGTTCTTCCGCCTTGGTGTGTCTAAACACCAAGTGGGAACAATAGTTCAACGAAACCAACGCTAGCAGAGTCACCTGGAGTGGAGAGCTCTCCCTAGGTCCTGGAAATCCTCTAGGGATAAATTTGGATTTGGGGAGGACAGTACTACTTCCCAAAGCCAGGCCATTGGCAAGATGTTTTATTCTGGTTCTAGTTATTGGTGGCCACTAATCTAGTGTCTGTGTTAATTGTCGTCCTGTCCCTGCTATAATTTTATGTGGCATTCACCTATCTGTCTTTATGTTAACCATCTTAAAATTACTTGGCTCTATAGGTCCAGTGCCAATCTAACAACTGGTAATCAGAGCTCTACAATGTGCTATTTACAGTGACACTCCTCGTCCTCAGTGCTCCTTGAGTCTGAATGGGGGGTGATCTTGTAGCAGACCTGAGCTTTATGTCACTCTTGTCCAGCTAGGGTTGGCTTTATGAAAGTTTTTAAATTGTGAATGTATTAATCTCGGTGTTTTCCAGTCATGAAATGTTACTAAGTATAAACTGGACAAAGGTAAATGGAGGCAAATAATTCCTGGCCTCTTAAATTCTAGGTTTGTTTGTTTGAAAGACAACTCAGGTTTGTTTAAAAAAATTTCCCATAAGTTGCATATATATATGAGAAATGATTAAAGACTACTTGAAGCAATTATGTTTAACATTTGATAGGCTTTTATTATAAAAATGTCTTAATTTGGAGCTTTAAATAATTGTTCCAAAATGTAAACCAAGGGAATTAAAAGGAATATGATCACAAGTCTAAAAATGTGTTCTTTTTTTAAAAACTATTTTTAAAAAGATTTATTTATTTATTACAAAGTCAGATATACAGAGAGGAGGAGAGACAGAGAGAAAGATCTTCCCTCCGATGATTCACTCCCCAAGTGAGCACAACGGCCGATGCTATGCCGATCCTTAGCCAGGAGCCAGGAGCTTCTTCCGGGTCTCCCACACGGGTGCAGGGTCCCAAGGCTTTGGGCCGTACTCGAGTGTTTTCCCAGGCCACAAGCAGGAAGCTGGATGGGAAGTGGAGCTGCCGGGATTAGAACCGGCGCCCATATGGGATCCCTGCGTGTTCAAGGCAAGGACTTTAACCGCTAGGCCATGCCGCCGGGCCCGAAATGTGTTCTTGGTGAGAAAAGTTATAAAAGGAAAATTATTTTATTAAAGGAAGAGCATTGCTTATAGAATATTTTTTCGTACAAGAGAATGGCTATCATAAAATGAAAAAGGGAAAACTAAGACAGAATATTTAAAGGCTTAAGAAAGGGTTGGAAAGTCAGAATTTGAGAGACATAAATCTTGTTTTATGTGTAATATCCTTGGCTATAATTTTGAAGATACTGCTATACCATTATTTAAATTGTATAGCATTAATATCTAATGCATCCTGACATTAGAATTGATATGTAAAAATAGGAAATCTCTGATTTTGAAATCTGTTAAGAGAATAAAAAACAAAACATCGAAACATCTCCTTTAGCTAGTTTCTGATTAGTTGGTGACTTGTCCCAGCCTTTAAGTTTGCTAAATTCTTAAAAGTTATGAGATAATTTTACATATTAATTCCTCTATGTAAGGTTTTATTCTCCTTTTAGTGACCAACTAAAGGAATATATATTTTGCCTTGCAACAAGGTAACCTCTTGGGTTCTCTATTGTCTTTGCTAAATTCTCATGGTTTGGTAAAAGAGCTGGGGTTTTAAAGGATGTTTAATTACTTTATAATGCTGAGAAATCTTCAATCAGATCCTTTAAGGTCTGTTGGCATATTAATAGGTTTAATTCTTCTAATTTTGAAATTTCCAAATGGGTCCCTTGTGTTTTCAAAATCAGAAAAAATGTGTGTCAGTGGCTACATCTTTCTTTTGATAAAGGTAATAACTTACATGTAAAATACTGTTAAGATGTAAATGAGGGCCCGGCGTGATAGCCTAGCAGCCAAAGTCCTCACCTCACACGAGCCAGGATCCCATACAGGCACCCTTCCCATCCAGCTCCCTGCTTGTGGCCTGAGAGAATAATCGAGGATAGCCCAAAGCTTTGGGACACTGCATCCTTGTGGGAGACCTGGAAGAGGTTCCTGGATCCTGAATGGGCTCAGCTTTGGCGATTGCAGCCATTTGGGGAGTGAATCAATAGATGGAAGATCTTCCTCTCTGTCTCTCCTCCTCTCTGTATCTGTCTAACAAAAAATAAATCTTAAAAAATGTAAATAAAACTTTTAGGTTATAACAATAAAATGTTAAAATAACAAACTGCCCCCAAAGTTCTTGGCCTTTGAGGGCAGTCAAATTCTCCAGGATCTCCTTGGCAAGAGGGACACAGGCCCAGCTGTCCTCAAAATCCTTAGTACAGTGCTTTCACAGTGAAAGTACTTGGGAGGCCCCCAGGGTCTCACTGGGACCAGAGCACACACGCCAGGATCCCATGTGGGAAGGAAAGGGAGCATTGTGAGTAGGTAGGTCTAGATTGGAAACACCTTTGAGCCAAAAATAATGTGTATTTTTAAAATACTTATTTATTTTTATTGGAAAGTCAGATATGCAGAGAGGAGGAGAGACAGAGAGGAAGATCTTCTGTCTACTGATTCACTCCCCAACTAGCCGCAACCGTCAGAGCTGAGCTGATCTGAAACCATGAGCAGGAATTTCTTCTGGGTATCCCACATGGGATCTAGGGTCTCAGGGCTTTGGACGCCCTCTAGTGCTTTCCCAGGCCAAAAACAGGAGCTGGATGGGAAGTGGAGTAGCCAGGATACAAACTGGAATTCGTATAGGATCCCAGCATGTGCAAGGCAAGGACGTTAGCCAGTACACTACTGCGCTGGGCCCAAGAAATGTATTTTTAGCTCTATTGTATATGAAGTTTTGAAGTACCCCCATGTTTTTGTTTGTAATGAAGACCAGGTTTACAACACTGTAGTATTGTTTGTTTGTTTGTTTGTTTGTTTTACTTATTTGTAAGTGAACCCGCCACACAAAGGAGAGACGTGTGAACTATCTTCCCCTGTGAAACTTTCGTTTTACAAATAGATTAGACAAAAA